CGTTTGTGCAGCCGCTGGCGGCGGTTCTGAAACCACACCTGCGCCATCGAATCGGAGGTTCAGACGCTGTGCGTGGAGCGGGCGGTCCGCTCGCAGCTCGCGCCTGCACTTGGCGCGGGTTCAGGTTGCACTCCTCCGCGAGACGTCGAGTGAGGAACGAATCGGGCGTGGTCTTGAGATCGAACGTGGCTTCCAGGATGGCGCGCTGCTCCGGCTTAAGTGACCTGGTGTAGTGAGGAGGGCGGTGGCATAAGTGATCGACGGTGACGAAGGCGGTGGCGTCGAGGGCGGAGGTGGAGTGGGTGGTGGCGGAGAGATTGGTGGCGATGAGGCAGTGGCGCAGAGGCGGCGACCTTGTCGATGGCCGCATCGGTTCTCCGGCTGATGATCAGGCCGTTCGGGACAAGGGAGCCGACTAGGAAGCCGACAGGAGTAAAGGGCACCACGGCTTGCCTTCTGAAACTTCGGAGTTAGCCGCCGATATTGCAACAGCCGCGTCCAAGCCCCGCAAGGAGAAAAAAGAAATATTCAAGCTTTTGTCAGCTGTCAGGGCCGTATATCAGAGCTCTAGTAAGCTCGGAGACACCCCATTAGTGCGACTCGACCTCTTTGAGTCACTGCCTTCCCGGCGGGTTGGGAGAGAGATTTTTAGAAGCCAACAAGAAATGTGTCACAGAAAGTGATTTGGGCTTCGACACAGGTGCGAACTGGCGCGTGCTAGTACTATCACCGGCACACCACCGGAGCCGCCTAAGCGACTCCGTTAAGAACGGCAATGCACTTAGCTCCGTGCACAATGCCGCTGTCCCCGCACGCTAGCTCGTTCACCGTCTGCCACGCCACGGCGGTGTGGAGAACGACAGACAAGCGCTGCATCTGCAGCCCGTGCCAGTTCTTGGTGGTCCATGTGACCTCATCGAGGTGCTGAGCGTGCGAAAGTTTGTTACTCAGCTGGTCCGCCGCCTGCCGAAGAATTCTGCGGACGCCGTCCCCGAAGCCGCCGAACGTCTCGAAGTCGAGCAAACGCAGGTCGCAATTCTTCTCGGAAAAAAAGATTTTTTGCAGCTAATGGGGATGCGGAGGACACGCCTGATCGCGGCGATCACCGCGCTAGCCGCGGCCCCCGCCGCCGCGCTGACGGTCGGCCCGACGCTTCGGCCGGCGGCCGGCGCGGCGCAGCGCACCTCCGGCCGCGTCCGGGCCGTCGCAGAGCTCGTGCGCGCAGACTCGCCGCCGGCGATCGGCACCGCGCTGCCCGACTGCCCGCCGACGATATGGGACGCGGACGAGATCGACATCGAGGCGTGGCAGAAGCAGTACCGGGAGGAGGGTCTGCCCGTCTGCCCGATTGAGATCCACGCCACCGAGGCGGCCAACGCCGCGGGCGCCGCGTGGTTTGTCGAGCGGCGCGAGGAGCTCAAGGCGACGCTCGAGAAGCACGGGACGATCTGGTTCCGCGGGTTCGAGCTGATGAAGGACGCGGACGGGTTCCGCTCCTTCTGGGAGTCGCTCGACCTCGACCCGTGCCTCGACCCGCTCCACACCTCGGGCCTCCGCAAGTTCCTCTCAAAAGACGACGCGCTGTACGAGGAGGCGAGCGCCGCCACCTCTGCACGCCGCCGCCTCCCGCGCCGCCGCCTCCCACGCCACCGCCTCCCACGCCACCGCCTCACGCCGCCGCCGGCCTCGCCACCCTCGTCGCCGCTAGCCTCATACCCCACCGACGCCTCGCCGCCGCCACCACCACACTCGCCGCCGCTGCCGCCGCTGCTGCCGGAGGCGCAAACGAGGCAAGGCGTTGGGGGCGGCCTGGCGCCGCACTTCCAGCGACTCGCCCTGGAGGCGCCTCCGGCGACGAGGAGGGAGAAGAAGGGCTTGACCGCCGTTTGCCCGCCTCTCGCCACCGCCTCCCTCGCCGCCGCCACCGCCGGCCCCTCCGCCCCCCTCGCCTCCGCCCTCGCCGCCCCCACCCTCGCCGCCTCCCTCGCCACCGCCTCCCTCGCCGCCGCCACCGCCGGCCCCTCCGCCCTCGCCGCCTCCACCCTCGCCGCCTCCCTCGCCCCCGTCCTCACCACCGCCGCCGTCGCCCCCACCGCCTCTTGTGCCCGCAGGTCAACAAGGAGTCGCTCTCCATATCTCCATATATCTCCCCATATCTCCCCCCCGCAGGTCAACAAGGAGTCGCTCTCGAAGCACTACATCGGGCTGCACAACGAGAGCACGTTCAAGAAGACGGCAAAGGCGGGCGCCTTCGTCTGCTTCAAGCCCGCCACCGGCTGGGGAGGCGACTTCTTCCTCGCGGACGGCGAGGCAATCTTCTGCGAGGAACCCTCCAGGAGCCTTCCAGGAGCCTTCTAGGCGACTTCTTCCTCGCGGACGGCGAGGCAATCTTCCGCGATCTCGACCCCGAGGTGCTCCGCGAGATCGTGAGGCGGAAGGTCCGCATCTCGGTGTCGAATCTCGACTTCGATTTGCTCGACAAGCTGCCGCCGCCGCAAAAGGAGGCGGCGATGCGCAAGCTCGAGCAGATGGTTGCGGACGGCGTCGCGCCAAAGTTCGACATGGACCTGGAGATGCTCTGGGGGACGGACGGGCGCGCGATGCGGCTGCAGGCCGTGCAGAACGCGCAGTCTCCGGTCAACCGCCACCCCGCCACCGGCCGGCCGGCGTGGTTCTGCAACCTGCACAACCAGGCGCGCTTCCTGCGCGAGCGGAGGCCGTGCGGCACGCCCGAGGTATGCATGGCCGACCTCCACTTTGGCGACCCTTCTAGCACCCTTCTGGGAGCCTTCCAGGAACCGTCTAGGTTGGCATGACCGACATCTACTTTGGCGACCTCTCGCTCATCCCCGGCGGGATGCTGCAGCACATCAACGAGGTGTCCGAGAAGAGACGCTGTTCACACCTACAGCTGTGAACAGGCGGGATGCTGCAGCACATCAACGAGGTGTCGGAGAAGAGACGCTGTTCACACCTGCAGCTGTGAACAGGCGAGATGCTGCAGCACATCAACGAGGTGTCCGAGAAGAGACGCTGTTCACACCTGCAGCTGTGAACAGGCGGGATGCTGCAGCACATCAACGAGGTGTCGGAGAAGAGGCGCTGTTCACACCTGCAGCTGTGAACAGGCGAGATGCTGCAGCACATCAACGAGGTGTCCGAGAAGAACATCGTCACCGTGCCGATGCAGCCCGGCGAGGTGCTGCTCTGCGACAACTACCGCGTGCTGCACGGGCGGGACATCTTCGACGGCGACCTCCCCACACCTCCCCACACCTCCCCACACCTCCCCACACCTCCCCACACCTCCTCGTACCTCCCCATACCTCCCCACACACCCCCATCCCTCCCCCTCATACCTCCCCATCCCTCCCCCTCATACCTCCCCATCCCTCCTCCCCATACCTCCCCATTCCTCCCCATACCTCCCCATACCTCCCCCCACAACTCCCCACATCTCCCCACATCTCCCCATACCTCCCCATACCTCCCCATACCTCCCCACGTCTCCCCGAGAGCAGGCGACCGCTTGCACGCCGTCTCCTGGTTCGGCGACGAGAAGCTGCAGGACGACAGCGCGGCCAACAAGCCGGGCGACCTGCTCAACGTCGTGCTCAACTCGGCCTTCTGACGGGGGGCGCAGCCAGCTAGTGGCGGGGCGGTACGCCAAACGCCATGCGCATGCAGCATGGGCTCGAGGCCGAGCGTGGAACAGTGTGCAGTGAGACGCTTGAGACTTGAGTCACTGAGTTTCTGCTTTTCGCTGTGAGGCTGCTAGATAGCGAGTGACGGGCGCTGAGATGGACGGCCGGGCTGATGAACTCCCTTCGTTGTGACAGCACACGGACGATAGAGTCGATACACGCACACGCACTAAACTATACACACACTGTCGACACACGACACGTCCACGCAGCTCGCGCGCGCGCCATGGCGGCGTGCGACCGCGTGGCTGGCTGGGGCGGCTGCCGCCTGCCACCGGCCACGCCCGCCACGCGAGCCGCCGCACTGCCACTGGCTCCGGTGGGGAGCCTAGGCTCCGCACACCGCATCGGTCGGCCTCGTGGCGCAGCCACTCTTTCGTGGCACTAATAGCTCTGACCGGTCCCCGCCCAAGCGAAGACCGTCAGAATTGGAGGCTCAGCACACGAACGGCACCAAGTGGTTTGCGGGCCAATTCAATTTGATGTACGACTGCTGGGTGACGATCGCCCGGGCCGAGAGATAGGTGGGGTACGCCAACCCCGCGAACACGAGCAGCGCGTTGATTTGCGAGGGAGCGGGCATGGGACCTGCGTGCCGCGGGGTCGGCCGTGTGAGCGTGCCGGTAGATGGACAGGGCGGAACGAGAGGCGAGTCGAAGTGTGAAAGTGTGGGGCAGCGAGGCGTGGGCGGGGCAGGGACCGCGAAGGGAGTCGATGAATGGCAGATTCCCACTGAAGATCTGCGGCGCATCATAGTGCCCGCGCCGCGTGACAGGATTGCTTGAGCACTGGATACTCGAGTAGGGTCGATTCCGCATGGTACAGGATTGCTCACAGCTGTGTGAGCGCTGTCAGAGCGGTGTTTCGACACCGATATCGTTCAAGGAACGCTGTTCAAATTCGTGGACCTTCTCTCTCACACCTTCTCTCTCTCTCTCTCTCTCTCTCTCTCTCTCTCTCTCTCTCTCTGTGTGTGTGTGTGTGTGTGTGTGTGTGTGTGTGTGTGTGTGTGTGTGTGTGTGTGTGTGTGTGTGTGTGTGTGTGTGTGTGTGTGTGTGTGTGTGTGTGTGTGTGTGTCGCCGTGGGGCTCCTATCTTTTAGACCTGGAGTCGCGAGGGATGCCTGGCCCCTTGCCCCACCACATTGCATGTGGAGAAATTTACCTGACCTTACCTTAGGTCGCCCTCGCCGCGCTCGTCGCGTCGCTCGCTGCAGCCTGGTCTTTCGCTCCTCGGTGAGGCGACGCACACGCCAGAGGAGCCGCCGCCGCCCAACGCTTCGCAGCTGCTGGTCCCGATGCCGCGTCCCGTGGTCAGCTTGGGCCTCGTGCAGCAGCTAGACGTCGCACTCGTCGCGCTCATCGCCGCCAGCGCAAACCTCTGGTGGTGCGGGCGGCGGCGCGCGGCAGCTTGGCTGCTCTGCGCCAGCTTCGTGGTCCGCACTTGGCTGCAACAGCCAATCACGGCACTTCTCCCAGTCGAAGCGCTGCCGCCCTTCGTCGACCTGCTCCGCTCCAACGCGCTGCGCTGCGCCTTCTTCGTGTTCGCTGCCCTCGTCGGCGCCTCCCCCCTCTCCTTCCGAGAAGGCACAGCCGCGCTCCTCGCTGTTGTGGCCGCGTGGCTCGTCCAGGCGTGTGTGCTGTATACGCGCCTCGGGCGCGCCGACGCCGTGGTGGTCGCATTGCTGTTCCCCATGATGGTCGCGGCCGGCTCCCTCGCTGCGCGTGCTATCTGCTATCCCCCAGGCCCTGGGACGCCCGGTGCAGCTGGGCCGGCTGCGGCGGCTGCACCGAGTGCGGCGCCGAGTCCGAGTGCAAGCCGTTTTGTGAGGACAAGACGCAGGCATGGGATGACAAGTGCACCTGGGAGGGCTGCAACGGCTGCTCCGAGTGCGGCGCCGAGTCCGAGTGCAAGCCGTTCTGTGAGACCAAGACGCAACCATGGTCGTCAAAGTGCTCATGGAACGGATGCTCGGCCTGCGGGGACACGTGTGCAATGCGTGCAAGCCGTACTGTGCGATCAAGACGGACCCGTGGGATATGCTCTGCAGCTGGAACGGCTGCTCTAGCTGCACCGAGTGCTCCGTGTCCCCGCCGCCATCGGTGCCGCCCCCGTCGTCACCGCCGCCACCGACACCGCCGCCACCCATGCCACCACCGCCCTCTAAGCCACCCTCCATCCCCCCTCTCAGCCACCATCCACGCCACCTTCCAAGCCGCCCGCTGAGCCACCATCTACGCCACCCTCCACGCCACCCTCCGTTCCGCCCTCCACCCCGCCCTCCACCCCACCCTCCGCACCGCCTCCCGCGTCCCCAGCTATGGGCGTGTCCACGTTGGAGCCAGGTGTGGTGTGGACGCGAGAATAGCTCCGCCGTTCATGGAGGCAACCGATGCGAGTCGACTGGTGTGTGTCGTCGTGGTTTCGTATCAAGAATACTCACTCACTCACTCACTGAAGGTGGGGTCAGCACCCCGTTGCCGCGCAGCGCCTCGGCGATCGCGGCGACGCCCTTGGGGCCGAAATTGTTGTAGCCGATGTCGAGGGTTTTCAGCACCCCGTTGCCACGCAGAGCCGCGCCGATCGCCTTTGCGCCCTTGTCGCCGATGTAGTTGCGGGAGAGATTTAGCGTTTTCAGCACCCTGCTGAAAAGGTAAAAAAGAAATCACGCACCACCAGTCATTTAATGCACCGCCCCCCTGCGCCGTCCACTCGACCAGAATTCACACTCACATCTTGAGCTCAAACCCTACCCGCCCACTCACCGCATCCCGAATCACTCCCTTCCCCTCGTCGCCCAAATTGTTGAGGTGGAGGTTGAGGGTGGTCAACACCCCGTTGACGCGAAGAGCGGAGGCCAGCGCAGCGGCGCCCTCGTCGCGGATGTTGTTGCGACGGAGGTTCAAGTCGGTCAGCACCTTGCTGAAAAACGCAAAAAGAAAAACACGCATTCCAAAGCGCTACAGTAAGACGGTCCGATTCCATGCACCTCCCTGCGCCTACTCCTCTCTCAGAGCCTACTCCACTCTCAAAGCCCACTCACATCTGGAGCTTAAACCCTTCCCGCCCGCTCACCGCATCTCGAATCACTCTCTCGCCCTCGTCGCCCAAACCATTGGCGCCGATGTAGAGGGCTTTCAACACCCCGTTGACGCGAAGAGCGGATGCCAGCGCCTTGGCGCCCTCGCCGCGGATCTTGTTCGCGCCGAGCTTCAACTCGGTCAATACCCCGTTGCCCTTGAGGGCGTCGGCGATCGCGGTGGCGCCAGTGAAGCCGATCTTGTTGCTGCTCACATCCAAGGAGGTCAGCACCCCGCTGCCCGACACGTACTCGGCGATCTCTGCGGCGCCAGTCGGGCCGATGCCGCATCTAGCCAGGCCCAGCGAGGTGAGCTTGTTGCGCTGCCGCTCGACATGCACGATGCTGAGGGTCGCCTCCTCGGTGAGGCCGTTGAAGCGCACGTCCAAGGAGGTCAGCACCTCGTTGACCGCGAGAGCCTCGCCGATCGCCTTGGCGCCGGCGTCGCTGATGCGGTTGCCGCCGAGCGAGAGGTTGGTCATCACCCCGTTGACGCGCAGCGCCTCGCCGAGGGCGACGGCGCCCTCGTCGCCGATGCCGTTGTAGCGGAGGTCGAGCTCGGTCAATACCGCATTGACCGAGAGACCCGCCGCGATGACGGCAGCCGATCCGGGTCCGAAGCCTTTGTTTGACAAATCGAGCGACGTCATCGCCTCGCGCCCGCAGAGCTGCTGCGGGTTGAGCGTCATCGCCCCCTCCTCGCCCACACTCAGCGCGACGAGCGTACGCGTCGTCCGCACCACGTCGAGCACCGCCTCCCGCACGCGGCCGCACACCTTGCCCCAGTCAAGCGTCAGCGACATCAGCGCCGACGGCCCAGACTCCATCCACGCGACCACCGTTCCCACCATCGCACCATCGTCGCTGCCAAGGTCGAGCCCCGTCAAATCGACGCCGCTGGCCTGCAGCGGCAATGCCGCATCCATCGCCGCGGCAAGCCCGCCGCCGCCGCCGTGCTGCATCGTCGCCGCAAGCACCGCCGCGCGCTTCACCTTGAGCGCGTCGCTCACCGCCGCTTGGAAGCGCGGGTCGTTGTTGTACGCCTCTGCCTCGTCGCCGAGCGGCGCCCCAAGCCGCTTGTCTGCCGCGCCTCCGGCGTCCGCGCATCGCTCGAGGCCGAGTCGGACGCGCACTAGTTGCGCCGCCTCCTCCGCTGCCCCCTCCGCCACCCCGCGGCGCACCTCCGCCGCCATCTGCGCGCCCATGTCGGTGAGCAGCTTCTTGCGCTTGCCCGCCACCTGCTCGAGCGTGAGCGAGGCCATGTTGATGGAGAAGCTGCTCTGGATGACCAGCGTGCTGCCCTCCACGCCCGTCGAACGTACCTGCAGGTGTCGGGAAGGGGGAGGTGGAGGCGATGAGACTGAGAAGGGGGGGGGGAGGTCGGAGGGTTGGCGCACCTGCAGGCCCATGAGCGGCGGCAGCAGCGTCTCCTTCTCGTGCGGGTACTGCGAGAGCCACGAGAAGTCGGCGCCGCGGTCGATCATGCCCATCACGAGCTCGAGCACCGTCGACGCCTTGCCCTCCGCGTAGTGCACCGCCTGCGCGCGGTCGGTGGTGGTCGACGAGAAGCCGTACTCGACGCCGCCGCGGAAGCCGAGCGCGTCCGGCTTGAAGAAGGCTTCCGGGAGCGTGGCGCCCCTCCAGCCGCGGTAGAGCGGCGTTATCCTGGTCAGCGGCGACAGCTTGACGATGATCGAGTTGATCGCGTGGATGGTGGTCGAATACTGGTTGTGCCACGTCCAGCGCACCGCGGCCTCGCCCTTGCCCGCCGCCGTCGCAGCCCACTCGCCGAGGTTAAGCCAGCCGCACTTCTTCTGCAGAAAGGGCACCTCCTCCATCGAGGCGTACTCCAGCAGCACCGCGCCGTCGGCACCGCGCGCTGAGGAGAAGCGGAGGACGCCGTTGTACTTCTCGTACATCGGCCCCGTGTACAGCCGGCCGGCGACCAGCTCCTCCTTGGTGAGCGGCGCCTGCCCCGCCTCAACGAGCCTCGGGTTCATCTCGTCCGCCATCTTCTTCTCGAAGACAGAGAGCGGCTCCGGCTTGCGGCACCACTCGCGGTGAGCCGTGCGGAAGTCGCCGCCGCGCTCCGCGTAGCGGCCATCCTGGTCCTCGACCGGCGCGACGACGAACTCCCACTCGAGCTTGGAGGTTGCGCCCTCGATGCCGTTGGAGGTGGCGAAAGGGAGGGTAGCATCCTTCTCTTTGCAGTGCTCCGTCTCCATGGCCTTGAGGAGCGAGCCCTCCACCATAAGCGGCGGCCCGATGATCTTCTCGAGGCCTGCTCACCGGTCCGGGGACGGGGGGCGGCCGGTGAGAGAGGGTGGGTCGGGTAGGCAAGCTACTGGCGTGCAGGAGCACGCCTCCGTAGAACTGCTCGACGCCGCCGAAGCCCATCTCGAACGCGTCGCCCTCCGCGGCGAACTTGGCGTTCAGCGCCGCCCCGGTCGCGGCGCTTTGGCCGCGCAACTTCTCAATGGCGGACCAGAGGGTCTCGGCATGTCCACCCAGCTTCACCGCCTCGAGCTTCTCCTCGAGGTCGGCGAGCGTGAGGCTGAGCACGTACTTGAATGGGTCGGTGGTGCCGGGCGGCTCCTTCAGCGCCTCCGCCACCACCTCGGCGAGGGCGAGGGAGTTCACCCAGCCGGCGACGCCCCACTCCGCGTCGACCTGATCGGAGGAGAGGGGGAGGGGGTAAGGCGGTGGGGAGGGTGGCGCGGCGGCGGAAAAAGTGGGAGGCAGACGCGGACGCGGCGGCGGAGGAGAGGGAGGCGGCGGCGGACGCGGCGGCGGTGTGTGCGGGCGGTGGCGGTGGCGAAGGCGGCGGTGCGGGGAATGCGTCGGCCTTGCCGTCGCGCGAAGGGGCGGTGGCGCTAGGCGTGCCGACGTTGCTGAGCTGGTCCTTGAGCGTCTGGATCTCGTGCTTGAGTGACTGGATCCCGCCCTGCTTGAGCGATTGATTCTCGCCCTGCTTGAGTAACTGGTTCTCGTCCTTGAGCGACTGGATCTCGTCCTTGAGCTTGCGCAGCTCCGTCTCGTTGTTCTTGGAGGCGGCGCAGCCCACTTGAGCATCTCCTGCACCGGGGAGAGCGCGACCGTGAGTAGGCATCGGATGGCGCCGGGGCGCGCGAGAGAGAGCGCTGCCAACAGCAGCGGCAGGGGCGGCAACGCGGAGCGCGTGGAACGGGGCGGTGGTAGAGGCGGTGCTGGCGGGTGGCGGGTGGCGAAGGCAGCTGGACGACCTGTCGTGTCGTCCTGGGGACCGTCCTCTTGCTCTGCGGCCGCGGCCTGGGTCTCCGCGCGTGGCTCGACGTCGATGTCGGTCCCACCGCTGCCCGTACGGGGCGGGTACGGCAGCGACAGCGGCGGGGGCGGTGGGGGCGGCGGGGGCGCGCGCACGGCCACCGTCGCCGCCGCAAACGAGGCCGCCCCCGCCGTCGGCGCCGTGATCGCCGGCGCGGTCGAAGCCGCCCCCGCATCGTGGTCGTCCTTGAGTGACTGGTTCTCGTCTTGGAGCGGCTGGATCTCGTCCTGCTTGAGCGACTGGATCTCGTCCTTGAGCGACTGGATCTCGTCCCTGAGCTTGAGCAGCTCCGTCTCGTTGTTCTTGGAGGCGGCGCAGCCCACTTGAGCATCTCCTGCACCGGGGAGAGCGCGACCGTGAGTAGGCATCGGACGGCGCCGGGGCGCGCGATAGAGAGCCCTACCAACTGCAGCGGCAGGGGCGGCAACGCGGAGCGCGTGGAACGAGGCGGTGGTAGAGGCGGTGCTGGCGGGTGGCAGGAGGCGAAGGCAGCTGGACGACCTGTCGTGTCGTCCTGGGGACCGTCCTCTTGCTCTGCGGCCGCGGTGGAGAGATCAGCCGCTCTCGCTCCCCGAGGCTTGCCCCACGCAAGAGCTCGAGCGCGAATGGAGGTTGCGGTAGCGCCACTCTTCGGCATCACGCACTGCTCCTTGGGCGTCGGCCTCCAGAGGTGGCGGCAGCAATGTGCTCAACAGCGGCTCTGCTCACAGCGGCTCTGCTCAACAGCGGCTCCCTCAAACGCTTGGGCTCCGGCGGCGATGAGACTGTCACGCCCCCCCCGCAAGGCGCGCGATACACACGCTTGGGATTTCCGCCAGCGCCACACCGCCAAAGGAATAGGAAGGGCCTCTCCGAAAAGAAGTCTTCTGCCTGGTTGTTGCTGTTATCGCGCCGCTTATTATGCGGCCCGATGCGCCTTACACTCCATCTCGCAGTGCGCCCCTCCCATTCCCCTGCTGAGCGACCCGCCGTCGCGGGCGCGCTGCCTGCTCGGCCAGCTGCAGAGCCTCGAGGTGCTTCTGGTGCATGAGGAGGGGCTCCGCGCAAAGGCGGCCCCGGGGGAGGGGCGGGAGGGCCCAACTTCAGAATCGTGCTTTTTTGGGTTCTAGGAGAGCCGCAAGAAGCCGTCCGCACAGCAAGCCGCTCGTCGGACAAGCGTGCTCGCTCGATGCCGGCGAGCGCATTGCGCACGCTTTGGACGGTGGCGAAGCCAAAAACACCGATGGTGGCCGTCCGCTGGCGTGAGCGGCGGCGATCGGTCCCTAACCTGTCGCCCGCGGTCCCTAACCCAAAAGTGGTCCTTCGCGCTTTGGTCCCTAACCAAAGAAACACGATCCCGAAGTTGGGCCCTCGGCGGGCGACGTGGGGCGATGCTGCAATGCTGCGTTGAATCAGGTTGAAGTCATGTCAGACGAACAAATAAAAGAATTTTGAAAAAGAATTGTGACGCCGTTTACGCGATCGGCTTTTGCTTCGTTTTTTAGTTTCTTTTTCTTTTTCTTTTGCGAGGCGACGGAGGAGGGGGGGCGGGCGGGCGCTAACTATGGGCAACTACATGCCCGAGGTTCAACGACGACTACTCGCCGCCTGGGTCGTTTGGGGCGCGCGGCTCCGTCGAGGACCGGGCGCGCGCCCCTTACCCGGCGCGGCGTAGGTCCCACTCTGACGTAAAGAGGGTTGATTTGCCAACAACAAACCTAAAACAAGCTCGAGGAAGCGGTCGATGCTGCACTCGACCGAGAGTTACGACTACGACAACGCCCGAGCACGCCCCCCCGGGCTTTTGGCGGCGCCGGCGGCGACGACGCCTTCGACGTGCTCTACGACGGGGGCTCGGGGTACGGGTGGGATTCCTCTTCGGGGGGCGGCGCCTTCTTCTAGGCGCCCTTGACCCAACATAGAGGGCGCTGTGTGAGCCTGCTTTTGGTGTGAGTGAGTGTGTATTCTTGATACGAAACCACGACGACACACACCAGTCGACTCGCATCGGTTGCCTCCATTAACGGCGGAGCTATTCTCGCGCCCACACCACACCTGGCTCCAACGTGGACACGCCCATAGCTGGGGACACTACTAGGTCATGCATGGCTTCCAGAAGTTTTATCTCTGGGCCCCGAAAGGCATCTCACACACACACACACACACACGCCTGCTTTTGGGTAATATAAAATAAGTAAGAGAGTTGAAGGGGAAGTGCCCCATACCCGGGTACCTGGCACCTGGTACCCGGGTACCGTCCCCTCAGTATGAGCTTTGACGGCCGCAGCAGCGAGATGGCCACGGTCGACGTGCTCGTGGTTGGAGCTGGCCCAGTCGGCATTACGGCAGCCATCGCACTCGCGGAGAAGGGCGTGCACGTTCGGATTGTTGATAGCAACCTTGCGCCTGTTATCCTTACCAAGGCGTCGGGCACGCAGGCGCGGACCCTCGAGCAGCTCCCGGAACGTGTCGTTGCTGCCATGCAGGCTGGCTCCGTGACGGCCTTGATGGCGCGGGTCTGGGAGAATACCGACCAGGGCAAAGCTGCTGTGCTGAGCATTGACATGCGCGGCAGGACGGACACCTTTGAGGGCGTCCTGGCCCAAGAGCAGTGGCGGACAGAAAAGGTGCTGAGTGAGTATTTTGAGACTTTGCCGGGCGTGCGTGGCCGGATGAAGATTGAGCGCGGCACCAAGCTCGTCTCATTTGAGGCAGACGACCTGGGGGTGACTTGCGAGCTTGACACGCCAGCGGGTAAGCAGATGCTCGCCTGCGGATGGCTGTTGGCGGCGGACGGTGGGAGGAGCACCATTCGCAAGGCCCTCGGGTTGTCCTTTGACGGCGAGACCATGGACGAGAACTTCCTCGCCCTCCATGCCACATTTGACGGCCTCGGCGAGTGTTGCTGGAGCGACGGCATCCACACGACCGAAGTTGGCCTGAGCAAGGGCAGCGGCATGGCGCCCGGCCTCTTCTTTTCCATGCCTATGCCGGAGGACTCGCCCCGGGCGCAGCTATTAATCGTTGACCTGGACGAGGCGCAGTCGGCGAGCTTCCTGACCGGCGAGGCGGACTCTCATGGCCGCCCGCTCCTACGGCCGCCACGCGACGACGAGGTCCCAGAGATAGCGCGCGTCCGCGGCTTTGGCACGTCTGAGCTACGGGTCGTCCCCGGCTCCGTCAAGTGGTGCACCGGATTCAAGGTAAACTCGCGGCTGGTCGAGCATTATCGCTCGGACCGCGTCTTTCTCTGTGGCGACGCATGCCACTGTCACTCCCCACTCGGCGGTCAGGGGATGAACATGGGCATGCAGGACGCGCTCAACCTCGCCTGGAAGCTTGCCATGGTGGTGCGGGGGCAGGCAAGGATCGACGGCCCTCTGCTCGACACGTACGAGGCGGAGCGACGTGGCACCGACGAGCGCATCTGCAGGGCCATCGAGCGTGCCGCGCACGGCGCCGCTAGCCGTAACCCGCTAGTCTTCTTCATTCGCGGCAGCTTGCAGCGCCTCGCTGGCATGCTCCCGGCGCTGCATGGCACCGCGGTGCGAGCGGTTGCGATGCAGATTCACTCCTACCGTGACTGCGCACTGAGCAGAGAGCACTGGGAGCGGCCGCCGGCCTTCCCACCGCTGCCAGTCTCGAGGATCTTCCCAGCCGGGGGCTATAGGCGGCGGCAGAACCTGTATCGGTGGGTCGGTCACCGGATTCGTGCCGGCGATCGACTGCCAAACTTTGACCTCCCTGGTGCACAGCAAGGCCTTCCTGCGCGCCGGCTCTATCCTTACAATCACGGATGGATGCTGTTGCTCTGCGAGGGGTACGCTCACGAAAACGCCGACCTCGCGCGCAACCTCAGCTCAGTCAAAATACTCTCAGCAGCGGAGCTCAACGCCCTGGGCAAGGAAATCAAGTCGCACAGTCGTGGGGTGATTGAGACGGTCGTCACGCTGCCAGCCTCGCACCCTGCCCTCGAGGTCCTCGGTGTGCAGGCCCAGTGCCTCATGCTCGTGCGGCCGGACTCGCACGTCGCGCTGCGCTCCGAGCCGGCGCGCTTGGGGTCGGTCCTGCGCTACCTTGAGAGCGCTGTCGGGGTGAAGGGACTGTCGTGGGACAGGGCTGGGTGTCCGCCCTCGTCACCCCGCTTTGATTACCTGCCCGTGGTCGTGTGGGCCAGTGTCGCTGCCGCTGCGGTTGCGATCCAGCTCCGAAGGTGGCCGAGGTAGGTAGGTGAAGATCGAGACCAGGATTGGAGAGCCGAGAGGAACAGGTGGCGCGCTGTCTCTTTTCTCAGCGGCTGTAGGAGAGACCCGTGTCCGTGTAGTGACTCTGTGTAGCAAATTGACAAATCACAATTCACGTCGTGGTGTAATACAGTGTGTGTTCGCAGTACACGCACGGTACCACGCGCAATGGCAGCTCAAGAGTCAAGCCAAGGGTGTCAGCGCAGATAGACGATGGTGCACCCGTTCCCCCCCTCCGGCTCGGGCGCATCCTCAAACCGCGCGACCAGGGGGTCCTCCGCGAGCCGCTCCCTCACGAAGCGGCGCATCTGGCCGGTGCCGCGGCCGGTGATGATGTACAGACAGCCGAGGTCCATCGCACGATCGAGCGCGTGCGCGACGTCGTCGCCAACCTCGTTGAGCCGCTTGCCGCGCAAGTCGAGCGTGTTGCTGGGTACGCGCACCGCGGTCACGCGGCGCTCGCGCTTCCCGCCCTTGCGACCCGCAGCCTTTGGGGGCGGCACCACCCTCTCGGCCTTGATGACCCTGGCCACCTCGGCCGCCTTCACCTTCATCGTCAGCCCGCCGTACGCCACTGTCAGCTGCTTCCCCTTCCTCGACTCTACCAGCACCGGCTCCTCCCCGAGTCGACGCACGATCACCGAGTCGCCAACCTCCGCCTCCTCCCGGCCCACCGCCGCCGCCGCCGCCGCCGCCGCCGCCGCCGCCGCCGCCGCCTCCGCCGCCTCCGCCTCTGGCGCTCCCGCCACCCGCTTTCCAATCACAGACAGGCGGTGCAGCGTCGCCGAGGGGGTCGGCGCGGGGCCGTCGGCGCCAGCCTTGGCCGCGGCCACCAAGTCTGCGATCTGCGCGCGCGCGGCGTCGAGCTCGCGCTGCAGCGCCTCGCGCGACGCCGCCGCCTCCGCCGCGGCCGCCGCCTCCTGCTCCAGCCGGCGCGCCTCGAGCTGCCGCCGCGCCCCCTCAGCCTCGTCGCGCAAGCCGACCAGCTGCTGCCGCAGCGCCCGCTGCTCCCCCTGCTCGGCCTGCATCCGCTCGATCAGCTCGCCGACGTCCGCCTCGCCCGCACCTATTCACAGCCAGAGGTGTGAAGAGACGCTGTTCACAGCTCGCCGACGTCCGCCTCGCCCGCGCCGAGCGACTCGACCGCGTCGTCGAGCACGTCAGGCTGCAGCCCGAGCCGCCGCGCGATGGCAATGGCGTTGGAGCGGCCGGGGACGCCTAGAGGGCAATCTCGGGCAATCTCGGGTGATCTCGCGTGATCTCGCCGTCCTCTCGCGTTGTCGGACGCCCCAGAGGAGGCGGTAGGTTGGCGCGAGCGCGACGTCGTCGAACTCGACGCATGCGTTCTCGAAGGCGGCGTCCGAGTACCTGTTAGTGAGTGACCCTGCCGCTCCTCAGAGGCTCATGAACTGCTTCATTAGAGGGGGGAAGGGGGGGGGGGGGGGGGGTCCGGGTACTTGAGCGTCTTGAGCGACGAGTGGTGCGTCGTGCACATCGTCAGCCCCGCCGTCGCCTTGAGCCGCCGCAGCACCTATTTCACAGCTAGAGGTGTGAAGAGACGCTGCTCACAGCCCGCCGTCGCCTTGAGCCGCCGCAGCACCTATTCACAGCTAGAGGTGTGAAGAGACGCTGCTCACAGCCCGCCGTCGCCTTGAGCCGCCGCAGCACCTATTCACAGCTAGAGGTGTGAAGAGACGCTGCTCACAGCCCGCCGTCGCCTTGAGCCGCCGCAGCACCTATTCACAGCTAGAGGTGTGAAGAGACGCTGCTCACAGCCCGCCGTCGCCTTGAGCCGCCGCAGCACCGCCGCCCCGAGCGCAGACCCCTCCGTCGGATCGGTGCCGGCGCCAACCTACCAAAGGGGGCGGGTCGGTGCCGCCGTCCGCCTCGCCGAGCAGCACGAGCGAGATCAGCCGAGAGATTACCCGAGAGAGTACCCGAGAGTACCCGAGAGAGTACCCGAGAGTACCCGAGAGTACCCGAGAGTACCCGAGAGTAGCCGAGAGTAGCCGAGAGTACCCGAGAGTAGCCGAGAGTACCCGAGAGTACCCGAGAGTACCCGAGAGTACCCGAGAGTACCCGAGAGTACCCGAGAGTACCCGAGAGTACCCGAGAGGACCCGAGAGTAGCCGAGAGTACCCGAGAGTAGCCGAGAGGACCCGAGAGTGCCCGAGAGTACCCGAGAGTACCCGAGAGTACCCGAGAGTACCCGAGAGTGCCCGAGAGTACCCGAGATTGCCCGAGAGTGCCCGAGAGAACCCGAGAGTGCCCGAGATTGCCCGAGATTGCCCGAGATTGCGCCTCGTCGAGCAGTACGAGAGACTCGCCGCTCGCGCGCTGCAGGATGGCGCGCACCTATTCACAGCTGCAGGTGTGAAGAGACGCTGTTCACAGCGACTCGCCGCTCACGCGCTGCAGGATGGCGCGCACCCGCGCCACGTGCGCCGAGAAGGTCGAGAGGGACTGCACCTATTCACAGCTGCAGGTGTGAAGAGACGCTGTTCACAGCTCGCCGAGAAGGTCGAGAGCGACCGCACCAGCGACTGGTCGTCGCCTAGGGGACCTATTCACAGCTAGAGGTGTGAAGAGACGCTGTTCACAGCGACTGGTCGTCGCCTAGTAGGAGATCGCAACCTCGGCTGATCTCGGGTGGATCTCGGCTGATCTCGCGTGCGACGACGGGCCGTCGTCGCCGATGTCTGCCATCACGGCGTCAAACCAGGGCACGGCGGCGACCGCCGACGGCGAGGCGTCGGCCGAGAGAGAGCGGCCACGCGGCTCTGAGCAGACGGGCCACAGTCCAGCCTGCGATTTGGGGGGAGATGGGGGGGGATGGGGGGGCGGGGGGGGGGAGATGGGGGGAGAGATGGGGGGAGAGATGGGGGGAGAGATGGGGGGAGATGGGGGGAGACGGGGGGAGACGGGGGGAGACGGGGGGAGATGGGGGGAGATGGGGGGAGGTGAGGCCAGCCTTGGCCATCAGCACTGCCAGCCCGAGGTTCTTCAGTGCCACTGTCTTCCCGCCGGTGTTCGGCCCGGTGATCACGATCGCGCGCACGTGCGGCGGGAGCTCGTAGTCCTGCTCAAACGACGACCTTACTCAAGGGCTGATTCAGGGCTGATTAAGGGCTAATTTAGGGCTAGTTAAGGGCTAGTTAAGGAAACTCGTAGTCCTGCTAAAACGACGACCTTAATCAAGGGCTGATTAAGGGCTGATTAAGGGCTGATTAAGGGCTGATTGAGGGCTGATTAAGGGCTGATTAAGGAGGCTCGTAGTCCTGCGCCACGACATCGCCCCGCTCGACCGGCTCGGACGGCGCAGGCTGCAGCAGCAGAGGGTGCAGCAGCCCCTGCAGTGCCACGCCCTCCGCCCGGTGGTCCGAGAAGCGGACGGGCACTCCGCCCACGGCGGCGGCGTACCGCGCGCGCGCGGCGGCGAGGTCGACCTTCGTCACGGCGCTGTGCAGCGCCTCGAGTTCAAGAGCGACGGCAGGCGCGCCCACTCGCTTGGAGAGCGCCTGCAGCACCGCCCGCACGTACGTCATCTCTCGGCCGTCTCTCGGCCGTCTCTCGGCCGCCTAGCGCCTGCAGCACCGCCCGCACGTACGTCATCTCTCGGCCGTCTCTCGGCCGTCTCTCGGCCGCCTAGCGCCTGCAGCACCGCCCGCACGAGCGTTTGCTCGCGCCTGGCGAGCTGGCGCAGCTTTGTGTTTGCGCCCTCGACCTGCGGGGAGAGATGGGGAGATGCGGGGAGATACAGGGAGAGATTGGGAGATATGGGGGCTGGGCCCGCCAACCTGCACGGAGATACAGGGAGATATTGGGAGATATGGGGGCTGGGCCCGCCAACCTGCACGGAGATATGGGGAGATATGGGGGGATATGGGGGCTGGGCCCGCCAACCTGCACGGAGATATGGGGAGATATGGGGAGATATGGGGAGATATGGGGGGATATGGGGAGATATGGGGGGATATGGGGGATGGGCTCTCCAACCTCCTTGGGCTCGATAAAGAGCGTCTGCCCCGAGCCAGACACGTCGCGCACGACGCCCGGCACGCGGTGCTTCTGCTTGGCCACCACCTGCAAGGCGGAGCGGTCCGCTCTCTCCCCAAGACGAAAGCGTCATCATGTACCCCCATATCTCCCCATATCTCCCCATATCTCCCCATATCTCAGGCCGCCTGCAGGACGAAGCGGTCCGCGCGCAGCGTCGGCAAACGGTTCGCCAGCACCGAGTCGCCCTTCTTCGCCACCAGCTCCGCCAGGCTCTTGCGCACCGCCGCCGCCAGCTCTCGCTTGGCGAACCGCACCTCGCCGAGCCCGTCCGAGGCGGAGTCGCGCACGACGCCTAGCGGGGACGTGTCTCGGACATGTCGCGGACGTGTCCCGGAACGTCTCCGAGGCGGAGTCGCGCGTCTTTCGCCGGCGTCGTCGACTGCCTCGTCAATGGCGAGCTTGAGAGCCGCCTGCACGCCGACCCCGTCGAAGAGGGCCGGGAGCCTATGCGGCACGGCACCGCCGCCGCCGCCGCCGCCGCCGCCGCCACTGCCGCTGCTGCCTTGCGCATCGTCGAGCGAGCGCATCTTCTTGACGAGAGAGGCTGCGGCCCCGAGGGAGGTGGATATGGAGGCGAGTTGCGGGCCCTCGAGCACCGCTCCCTTGGACGCCAGCGAGACCAGTGGCAGCCAGTCGGTGAAGCCCTTGAGCTCGAGAGGCACGCCGAGGCTCCTCTCGATGGCGAACGCCTCTGCCGTCTCCTCGAGCAGCGCCTCCGACTCGGCGCGCTCGCGCGGCAGCGGGATGCCAGCGCCGTACAGCTCGCGCGAAAAGGCCGTCGACGCGTGCTGAGCGACGTGCGCGGAGAGCCGAGGCCACTCGAGCAGGTCGAGCGTTGCCACGGCTGGGTCGGCAGCGGTGGGCGCGGGAGAGCTCTCTTCGGCAGCGGCGGGAGCTGCGGTGGACTCGGCGGTCGCTCCAAGCAGGACCGCTGCAGGACGCTGGGCCGGTTTAAGCTGAGGCGCGAGCTGCCGAGGCGCGAAGGCGGCTGCCACGGCTGCCACGAAAAGCATGGCCGGTTCTGGGAAGAGGTGCAGGGAGAAGAAGAAAAGCGCAACTCGCACGCCCCTGGCGGGCCCTCTCCGCGCCGCGATGCGCCCCCTCCCCCCTCGCTTTTGCAAAATCCTGCAAAGGTGGGGACGTGTCTGTCCTCGACCCAGCCCTAGCTTGGGATGTCCGTTTTATTTATTTATTTTATTGGGCGCCGCGGACCAGTTCCGCGAGCGCTCGTCAGCGGGTGGTGTGCGGTTCTTGCCGTAGTTCCTCTTCGGTCGCCTAGCCCCGGCGCCGTCTGTCGGACGCCTGCGTGTCACGAGTGCGAGCCGCTCGCGGTTCGTACACCCGCTTGCGGGTTCGAGTGGCGGGCCATCCCGCTTGCGGGATGGCTTAGCGGGTTCGAGCCGTCACACATTGGCTGCCGGGGTGTGCCGAGGGGGGGCTGGGTGGGCGGTAAGCCGTCATTGCCCGGCGCTGCTTGCAGCGCTCTGGGTGGTAGTGGCGGCGCTCCAAGAGTGGTGCTCTTGGGAAGAGGTTCCTCCTTTCCGCTCCCCCCCCGCAAGGCGCGAGACACACACACACAGCGCCGTTGGTCACCAGCCTCCGTCCTCCCATCCCTCCATTGGCTTGCTGTTT